TTCAAGTAACTGCTTAAAAGAATTATTAAACTCACCTATAACTGTTCATGTAATAATTCAAAGTTAGTTTTTAAGATATTTTAGATATTTAATATTTACAAATATACTACTTATGAATTTTAAAACTTTTACAATGTTCAAAAGAAATTAATATATACACTTTTATGAGACTGAGTATTAACATAATTTTAAAACATTATTCATCATATATTCCTGGATTACTAATAGCATTTTTTCTTTTACTGCAAAGTCTAAAATTTTCTTAATTGATGAATTGAAATAATTTATTTTTTTATTGTCAAAAATAGAAACTAAATAGAGTAATAGAAGCTTTTAGTGCATAGCCTAAACATTACCTATGGTTAGAAAGTATAACTAATTACTTCAATTAAATATTTACCAGAAACTTTGGTTTCACACAAAACTTAAAACCATTAATTAGAATAGTGAATTCACATTAATAGGCTAGCTATATTTTTATATGTAAGCATTTTAAAGATTCATTTATCTTTATAGGATTCTTTCTGCATTAAGGCATTACTTTTATGGAGAAGCTTTTCAATATTAGCAAATTACTAGTAATGACTACAATAGGAGAATAATCGGGTTGCCAAAGTTTTAATTTACTTTGCTCTCCATAATCCCTACATTTGAATGAGCACCTTCCTCCCACATTATTCAGTTCTCTGACTGCTTGCATCCACATGTGTAGTGACATCATAGGAAGGAATGATGTCATACTTTCAATATTGTGATTTAAGCGTAGACTTTAGCAAAAGAAACAGATGGCTGCAAGAAAGAAAACCCTTGTTTAAATTAGACTCACACTAGAATTGGCTCCAAATTGCAAAATGTAATTAAAACTTTATTTTAAAATACATTTTACAGTTTATACACCCTAGGAAGAGCTTTTTACCATATGAACTTTCCAGCTGCCACACAGCACAAGAGAGGTTGCATTTTTCATGTTAGGTGATATGCAGTTCAAGGAATGATGGTATTGAAGAGAGTGAAGATAAATCTCATAGACATGGCAATCCTATTTGTTAAAATGTCATATTCCATGGAAATGGTGTCAGAGGCATGAAAAATGGCTTCAGAAGAAAAAAATTACTAGTGGGAAGTTTGGATGGTGTAAATACTGGGTGAAATACATGACCGGGCCTTCATTTACCCTGACATTGGATGGGTTGGCCCAAAGGTCTCTTTGGAGTACATTTTGGGGTACCTACCAAATATCAATTACGAAGATGACTTAATTGCATTTGACTCAACACTATTTTATGTATATTATGAAGTGTTGCCATATTTCAGTTTCTGAAATGTCTGCCTGGATTTTCTTTTCCTTTTTAAATAGATGTTACACTGAGAGGAAATTCATGAGAAACAAACAAAGGGAAGGAAGATTTGCATAACCCTTAAAGGGTTAAATTAATTGTTCTTAACTCCTTTGACAGAGGGGCAAATGGATAGGAAGCTTAAGTGACTTACTTGCTCAAGGTCATACAGCAAGTAAATGTAATGTCAGTACTAGAAATTAGGCAATCTGACCCCAGCACCCCTGATTTCTCCATTTCCCATGCAGACAGGGAATGTACATTGCATAATAAAAGAATAGCTGCTGCCAGTGTCATCACACAATTTCAATCTGAAATGTATTCAAGGTTCGGGTTAGTGAGTGCTATCCGCAAATCAACAGAGAATCTGAAATAAAATTCATCCACACTCATACCCAAGAATATTCTAGTAGCCATGATGATACGCTTAAAAGCAGCTCCTTTTTCTTCTATTTCTAATTATCTTCTATAGTGATAGAAGAGGAAATGTCAGTGGACATTAGTAGATGAAGTGTTATTAGTAACTATTTTCTTTGAAAATTTCTCCCTTGTTTATCAGGCCTCCATGTTGTTGTCTGAACTAAATAATTTCTCATTCCATGTTTGGAAGAAACCAATATTTTTACTAAATACTAAATAAGTTACCTTTACGAGATAGAATGTGCACAAAGTATATGCTATACAATACACACTCCTCTCAATGCCTACTGTTTACAGTGTACACATAATATTTGCATATACATTACCCTGATAATAAGCTATTGAAAATACATCACTATCCACAAATGATTCTAATTATTTAAACTATTTGTTGTGCATAACATTGTAGTTGTTCTTTTTGAAAAGTGTTACCATAATATTTAAATATATAAAGATGTTTTGCTCATTCGAAATTTGCCTGTTATTGTTTTTGAATGATTTGATATCAACTCATTAGGATTCATAGAAGCTAATAGTATGCAGGTCCAAGGATACCAGGTAATTATTTTTTTGTGGCTTTTAAAAGCAACCTGAAGGTAAAATGTTACCAAAATTTAATCAAATAATCACTTTGATGGTAGAAAATGGACCTTGCTCTTGTTCTATCTTGTCTAGCATGCAGTAATTAGGCTCTCAATAAATATATGTTGAACAAATGAGCAAATGAATGGATGAAGTGGTATTCCAGCCTCTTCATCGATTTCAGAGTGTGAAATAAGGTGTCAAAATTGTATTCTTTAAAGAATTGCGCAAATCTGACATGAATGATCAGGGGTAAAGAAAATAAATGTGTTTTCAGTCCCACCCCTGTGCTTTCCTTTCTCTCTCAGAAACCGTTGGATCAAATTCCTCTGCCTTCCATGGGGAGTCATTTTCAAAGAAAGAGATGTGCTATTTCCCTGCACTTAGTTATTGTGCCCCTAATCAAACTCTAGGCGCTGGATTTCCATCAAAGTACTTTGGTTTGTTTTATAGACCACCAAGTAGAAAAAAGATGGAAGCCTAACACCTGTCCCCCTCGCCTGGAGCTCAAAGGTTTAATCAGTAAATAATAGCCAAATACCTTCCAGGCATGTTATTTTCCCCAACTTTCCTTGGTAATAAAAGAACTTAGTTGTCTTCAAAGATCTACAGTATTCTATAATACATGAAGGATCAAACTTCATTCATAGAGATGAATCACAGAGTATCTATGGGGTCTTCTTCAATCACTTACAGACTGTATTAGGCTGTGGGCAGAGGCAGTGCTGTGATTATTTACCACCTGGAAATGTGGCTGGAGCTCTAATAGGTAGTAAAAGAACAATACATGATTAAAAAGCCAAAGTCTTTGTGAATCAGAAGCCCTAACAGATACAAGTAGGCACTGGTATTGTTTTATTTCTGATAAATGTTGGCTTTGGGTCTAGGGCAGTTCTATGGTGTTCTCTGGGGTTAAGTTCACCAGCACCTCTATGCGCCCGGATTTCTTAGAGAGAACAGATGGTTGGGGCAGGCCTAGACATAGAAACAGATTTATCTTGTCAGGCTGTTATCTCTAGGTAAATGACCTTAAGCAGGTCACAAATGGTCACATGACAACAGTGTGGTACAGCCGTATCCTGAGGTGGTGACCATTTATTAACACTTCCCTCTTGGGTCCCAACAGCTCCCATAAATAGCCACATAGCAGTTTTGTGATTGTTGATGTGTGTGCACACATGCATTTTAAGGTAATGGCTTGTGCACAAATGTCTAAGATGTACAGACCTTCAACAGTACTTAAATGCCTGATGTTATTGTGGGCATACTGGAATGTCGTACTTTGTACTTGCAAATGATAGCGGATGCCCTGGCCTGTTCAGTGCCCCTCAGGCTGTGTGTGCAGCTGAGCAGGCCTCGAGAGCCTGTGGAAGGCTAATCTGGCAGACTTCATTCTGGCCACTGCATTGCATCACTGTTAACACCACTCTAGGGAGCTAAAGTTGCCTGTATCTGATTCAGATGGCTTTTTACTATTACTTTATTCAGTGTGGCTCTCCAAATACATTACTTTTCCTAAAGCTATTTTCCCCAGTTGCACCTCCAGGAAAGGGCTCTTACTTCTGTATATTCCTTGTTCAGGCTTCAGAATCCTGAATAATCACAATCTGGATACAAAATAGGTGCCTGCTCCAGAAATGGTCTCAGGGTTTTCTAGGATGCTCTGGGTCTGTCTGATGTCAGATCACCCTCTCCATTCCATCCTGAGTCTTTCCACAAGCAGACATTGAGATGGCAGTAAATGAAAATCAAATAGTGAGGTCTTATTGTTCAAAAGAAAAAATACACATGTATTTTATACATATATATACATGTATGTGTATATGTAACAGAGTTAGGAAGACAGTCATTATGAGCCAGTTTTAAACAGCACGGCACACTAAGTGTTCAACAGGAAACCTTTCCATTCTAGTAGACGTAAGATAATGAATAAAATGAAGGGGGGAAATTGTATTTTTAAGTGTTTTGGTGAGCTGGTAGAAAGTAAAGGATTTGCTGAGGGTTGAGGGTAGGGACAAAAACAAGAAAGTAGGGAAAATGAGGAATAAAGGTAAACTTAGGGCTAGAATTTGTGGAGAGGTTGCTAACTGGGTCAACTGAGATAGAATTGGGGCCTGCACAGTGTATGGGTACACAGGTTTCACCAGCACTTAAACTGGAGAGAGAACTTTCACCAACAAATAAATGGTGCACACCTTTTCCTTTCCAATACTTAGATCAGTCGGTAGTTGGGCAGGATTTAATAAAAAGCCCATTTTATTATAACTTTTTGAATATCTCAAAATAGTTTATTGAATTTTGTACTAATGCTGAAAAACTGAAGAGTAGCTGTTTTTTACCCTTGTGATCATGTGGCTGATGGGGCTGTCATCCCTGGCCAGCATCATGAGAGTATCATGCTGCATACCTTTCACCAGAGAAAAGATCAAACTTCAAAATTCTAAATAGTGTGCTACTGCATGTTCATCACTTTCACACCATCATCAAGTAGAAACATTCCAAGTCAAATGAGCCACTGTTAAGTGAGGGACCATCTGGTCTACCTTCCAGGCCATTAGTGGTTGTCTCTAGGTGATTCAGTAGTTCATAGCTGATGATTTATCCGTTTTAACATCTATTCATCATCGGGTGGTTTGCACTAATCCTAAATAGCCTACTTACCTATCAAGATGTGACATGACTGTCTTGGAGATGTCTGCACCTGCTTCCTGCAGTATACGGATAATCTGAAATGGTGAACTTGCATTCCGTCCGGGATGGATGATGACAGGACAGCCAACCTGAGCTTGCGCATGGGCTGTTGCCTGAAGAACTTTTGTTTCACTCTCAGTCAGAGGCCAGGAGCAGCCAATTTCTCCAATGACGCCACACTTGATACTGGTTCCATCAGCTCCATGGAGAATTTCATTAAGGAGTACATCAGTTAGCTGCGAAGGAGCGAGAATGAAGCCATTTCATGCACTAGACTTTATCAATGCAAAGACACTAGAGCATGTGAATGAATTTGCTCACTTAGTCATTTTCATTTTAAAAAATATACTTAACATTCTGTCAACTGATATTGTTAGTGAAAGAGGCATTTTGCTTGCTGGTCAAATCTCAGATTCAACATGTCATTATAAATTAAAATTCAATAATATGTTACTGTAATTACTTAAGAAGATATGTATGGCTAAGTTAGCTGTTAGGGGATAAAAGTGACTTAATAAGAATACATTCACATTAAGAGAGAAAAAATCTATAATTTAACATGAGGAGCATTTAGACAAAAAAGTCTGCCGTTGAATCTGTTAACCATTTCATGTTAATCATTTAATACTGTAATAAAAATTACAGCACATAATACTAATGTTATATTTTTTGGTTCATATATTATTAAGAATAATTAGAAGAATGTGCAGTCATAACATCATGATCGTCTAATATATATATAAAATAGGAAGCCCTAATTGGAAAATGAAGTAAGATTTTAAAATATAAAATATTTTAAAGAGGAACTGATTATCTGCAAAACATGCAGCTAAAATTCTATGTCCATCAAACAAGTAATGGAACACATATGAATATATACATACATGCATAATCATATGTAAATATATACACATGTGTGAAAATGAGAATACATACACATGCAAAAATAACTTTGCAGCACATTCTTTTCTTTTTAATCCTGAAGGACTTACTTTTTTCCTTAAGATTGTATTATGATAAAAACAAGGGAATGGATTTTCTTCCACTCCTCCTGTTTTGTAAAAGGAGAAGGAAACATATTCACAAATGTGCCAAGTCTCTGCCTGCCAAGTTTCACCCTACAGTGAATTTTTATTGCTGGTTATTATAAAATCCAGAAAGAAAAATCAAGGTTGCATAACTGAAGCTTTTCATGGAAAACTGGGGTTTACAAACAGACTGTGGCACCACTACAGAACAAATGTCTGATGCAAACAATTCTAAATACGAACACATTGGATTTTACAGTGACCAGAACAATAAGGAGTTCGGGCCCTATTTCTTTAGGAAACGAATTGTTCCTAATTCATTTTATGTTGCATTTTATGTTGCAATTGGCCAGTATCTTTGCTAGCTAGAAATTTCTACAGCATGCTCAGCTACCTCTGAAACAATGACATTTTCAAATGTAGATGCCATATAGGGATAACCTAAGGTCTGCAGTTTTGGCTAAACTGAATTATAGACAAGTACTGTCAAAAAACTGAAGGCTTTTTACCTGCTCCACTGACATGGCTCTGGTTTCTGGAGAGTGAGTTGCATCCACATAAAACCCAGCTCCAGATATAATATGGATGCCGGTCTGTTCTGCAAGCCGCCTCAAAGTCTTTACATCTCGGCTGATCCCTGTGGTTGTGTTCTCCACCAAAGCCCCTCCGCCTTTGGCTTTAAAATATAACAATTCCTCCCTTACGGCATCTGTTTCCTGATTCAACTGAAGATTCTCTTTATGTGAATAAGGGTTTTTCTGAATCCAAAATAAATTTTTCAGCATAAAAGTTTCCTTAGAGGTAGCTTCATGGCTTGGTGAAGGTGGGTGGTAACAGAAGTCAAAGGTCATCGTCAGGTGTTCATGGGTCAGGGTTCGGCCCAATTTGCTTGGCTCCACAAGACCTAAAACAGTTTGGACTTTTCCACTTAAGGAAGACATTTCTGATGGTGCCAAGAGACACTCTAAAAAAGAGTGTTTTCTGGAAAAAAGAAAGCTATAATCAGAAAATTTAACACACACATAAATTCTGCCCATAGGGGATGTGAGTCTGTGAACGTATACCTGTATAAGAAAAAGAATCAATGAAACTAGAGATACGATCTCACTTATCATTCTGCCAAAGTCAGAGTTGGTCCCTTGTAAATTGTTTGAGTTCACTGCAGCTCTAAGTGACATGCATGGTGTTAAATGTCTCCCGACCACTTCCTCTGGGAGTACTCTGCTTGATTTAATCCCAACCTTATCTACTGGAAATATGTCTTGATATTCAGTCCACATTTTTCTTTTACTTAATTTTACCTCATTAGTCATAGTTGTGCTTTCTTGGATAATTCAACAAGAATCTCCCTTAAAAAAACTCGTCATAATCAATGACATATATCAAAACCAACCATATACTCGAAGTCTTTTGTCATTTGTCAGCTAAATTAAATACACCAACATTACTGATCCTTCCACTATTCCTTCACTATTCGAGTTAACAAGTTCCCATTGAAGGCCCACCTTGTGCCAGAACCTAGAGATATTAAGTGACAAAGAGATACAAAGTCTCTGACCTTGATGATTTCACAGATTTCTCTCCAAAAAAGAAGAAGAAAAAAAAAAAAAACCCAGGGGGACAGTGACACCTAGGTTTAATAATGAAAAAAGCAAAAACAGAAGCAAACTTCTCCTTTATAGATGTCTTATTTTGTCTAGGGCACACAGAAACATACTTCAATAATACTTAAAAAGCAAAGTTCTTACTCATAAAGAAAATAACTATGATTTATTGAAAATGAAATCTTCTGACTCTGAAAGGAGCAAATACCTCTCTATCCTCTGTTCACTTTCATTTGCAGCATAAATTATTTATTTACTAAGTCTCTATCAGTGACAGCAAGAACCCAGTTTCAGAGCTTTCATTTGAAAGTAGTTTTCCTAAATGCAAAGATGTTGCTTGGAAAGAAAAAGGTGCTACTGAAGATGGCGAAGACACAAGCCTTCATGGCCAAGAACAAACCACTGCCAGAAACAGCATCCCACACAGCCCTAACAGGACAGTGAAAAACATCGACTGGAACTGAGCAAAAGAGGCTCTTTCAAAGCTTTCAAATTGTACTTTAAGGGACATTGTGAGACTATTTTTCCCGGCATTCCTTTGAAGCTCTCCTTGACTTTATTAGCATCTGTTTTCTCATCTCTAAGTTAGAATAACAGTGCATATTTCATAGGCTGTCAGAAGGATGAATTAAGTTAGATGCCACAAGTTAAGAGACCTGTGAAAGGGTTTGGTACATAGCACATGTTCAACAAACAGAAGGCTTGTTACGCTAGTTCTAGAAACTATTATGTATTTCTTAAGTAATTTCTTTTCAGAGGATTCAGTTGATAAGAGAGCTTATTTTGGGAGCAATGGGTAGAGGGAAAGTTTATAACAGATACAGTATATACCGAAGACAAGGCAAAATCAGCTTAGGGTTGGTGAAAAAAGCAGTACTGAGATATAGGCCAATTTCTGTCAAGTCACTGCAATGAGACAGGGGTTTGATATGTGTTGTCCCACAGTGCCTAAATGATAGACATTAGCTGTTTGACAGGGAATACCAGGATGTGGCTAACATGATTGTTAATTTTTTCAGATAGTATTCTTCTGTAAACCAACATTTACTTCCCATATCTAAATATTTCAGTGGCAGCCATGATGAAAAAAGATGATATCTATTAAGAGAAGCACATCCTAGCTGCCAATCACTACACAGTGCATTTTTTTCACCAGTGATGTCTAGGGATTCACTATTTACAGCTTTACTCCTTTTTTGATGATGATGAAATCATAGTACCATTAATGATAAGTTCAATCTTCCAGATGAGTTAATTTGCTCTCTTTCCTTCTAGCTGATGGTCTTAAGATGTGATCCTAGAGAGCCACCAAGGGCCAGAAAAGTGGGCAAACTGATAAAACATTATCACTTCCACTAAAAAAGTACCAAACTGCATCTTTAATTGATATATTTAAAAGCAATGTTGGTAAGTTTCAAACTCACAAGCTGTGAGTCTTTGTGGAAAAAAAAAAATCACATAAGAAATGTCATCTCTTCTGGGAAATTCCTCCAATGCTCTCAGGCAGAACTAGTTGGTATTTCCTATGATCACCACATTGTTACCCGGACTTAATGGCAAACAAAAGATTAAAGAAAAGTGCTCAAAACCAGAATATGCCTTTCAGTGGAATAAATTATGTATGTGGAATTCATGATTCCTGTGCAGCAAGGAAGCCTTTCTTGGTCTACCTTCAGCCCAGAAGTTGTTCTCTTTTCAGTACACACACAAGGAGCGAGGAATGGCCTTCTACCCCAGACATGAGCATGCCCCGCCCAAGGACAGGAATGAACAATGAGGACTTTTTGCCCAACTGCACAAGAGTGCACTCTCACAAAAGAGCAGACGTCAGGCATTTTGAAGAACAACCAGGGAAGGCTCCAACATTGCACATTCCTGCCCAGTAGCTAGTGGGTAAAGGGAGAGCCAGGCTCTCAGTACACACACTTAAGAACAGCTTTACTGAACTTCAAATGTGAAATCTGAGCAGTCAGAGGGACTGATGACTGTGAGGACAAAAAAGAAAACAGAATTTTAAAGCAAAATAGAAGGACAAGAGAAGGGAAGAGAATCAGTATTACAATACTGGGCCAAAAAAAAAAATATTATTTAAGGATTTGACCTTTTATAATTAAGCTGACTTTATTGAGGTAACATTGGTTTACATCACTGAATATGCTCTGGGGTATAGGTTCAGACCTCTTCAAGTATGTTCTGTCATACCTTGCCCACTACTGAAGTACCATCCTCCCTCCACCACAGGCCATTGGGGCCTGTGTTCTTCTTCCCTATGTTCCTCACCTGTTCTTTCCCTTCTGGTAACCTCTGTTCTGCAGTCAGATTTCAAGTGTTTGTTTTGTTGGATTTTTTTGTTCCTTTGTTCCACACGAGTGAAATCATTCAGTATTTGTCTTTCTCCTTCTGTCTTATGTTGCTAGTGTAATAGAACTTGTCTTTTTTAAAAAAAAGCATTTGCATAACTTAGCTTTTATAAAATGTATTACAAAGTGGTTGAATTATTGGACATTACTGGTGGGTGAGTAGTTGGGGGACAATTTTAATTTAATTTCACTGAGATTTTGCCCTGAAATTTTCATAGCTATTTCATGCTAGCCATTATGCTTACATTTTTTCTGCCTACCAGGGTTGAATATCCATCTAAGTTACATTTCACATTTCAGAAGGCAGGGCTTTTAGAATGTGGAATAATTTACATATGAATGAGTAGACCCTCTTAAACACTCACGCCCTCCTCCCTATTTAACAGACCTATTTCCTTTCCCTGTGGTAGCTTCTGCTGCAGTACTGTTAGACCTTGTTGAAGGAATTTTATTTATAATTTTAGAAGCAATCATCCAATTGGCAGGCTGATGCTTTGTGAATTGATTTTTGGTTTACTCCTCCAACAACTCTATATAATTTTTAACCTCCTTAATAAATCCCTTATTCCATTTCACTTAGAGTTGTTTTCTTGCCCCTAACTGATAAAAAAAAAATGGGAAAGCATTTCCGAGTTTTGTGCAGAAGCTATGAAGTGAACAACCTGGTAGCTGAGTGGACATTGGATGGAATGGCATCACTGTGCCTGTACATAGACAGGGGGTGTTGCTAGAATCTGAAAAAAGCTGGGTGGTGGCTTGGTCTGAGATGACACCAGTGAGTTGGTGAGATAGGAGCGGTAAGAGGCACAGCAGATGGAAGTTTCCAACTGGACTTGCTGGTGCTATAAAAGTATCCCCCCAAATAAATTAGCTCCTAAGAAAAAAATGTTGTCTTGTCCAAATGTGTCAGCATTTCTATTTTTTTTATGGGTTACATCACACAGTGAGCCAGTACTCTCTAAACACTCCACTGAAAGCTGGCATTTGACTTGGGACCAGCATATTTTTAAAACAACACAATATCTTTTTAAAGCTTGTTTGACTATGTCCATTGTGTACAGGTTCATGGCTGGGGCAGGCCTGCTGTCAAACTGCGGTGATCTGGCATCAGAACAATGGCGGACTTCCTCCTCATGCTCCCAGATATAAATGGTTAAAGGGCTCTACTGCACGGAGATTGCTAACTTTTAACATTAAGCAATATCCACAAATCAACAGTCACGCCTAAAAATGGAAATGAAAACCAACCACTGCAGTACACAGAGCAACAACAAAGCTAGCAAGTTCTTTACATGGGGACATAAATAAAGCAACATTGTTCAGTGATACAATGAATTTGTATTTTGTATTCAAAGGAAAATGACTGGTCTCATTCGCAAGTTTTCTTCACTCTCTTTCTCTCTCTCTCTCTCTTTTTCCATTTGATGACATAGTAGAGAGAACCTGGTGCTATTTTTAAAATCCAAATAACAAATAGAAGATCATGGCAGAGATGTACCAGAAAGGGACACTCCAGGAAGAAGACACTTGCAGCCGGGTTTTCCTGGTAGAGTCCCCATCTTGCCTGCCCTGCTTATCTGTCCTGCCCTCCTAGATATGTGCATGTCATCTAAACTGGTAGTTCCATTCATATCAAGTGGTTATCAAAGTTAGAAATCATATAGGCTAGTGATTGCTGAAGAGCTCATGCCTGTGACTAACTGACTTTAGTTGGTTGGGTCCATCATGCTGTGTGTGGCCAGAATCACACACAGTATGATGAACTCTTACTTTCTTTATTTTTAGTCAACAAACTGAAAACATTTTGTCCCTAATAAAACAAAGGGAGGGAGACGGAGGAGAAGGAGGGGAGAGAAAGGGATGGGAACTGGGAGGGAGGAAAAGCCCAGCATCTCTACTCAGGTCAAAATGTAGCGTCACTCATGCCTTCTCAGAATCACAAATGAGAGTCCTGATGATCACTGTGTGGTCAAGATGCTTTCTGTGAAATTGACCTGTTTTTCTTCCCTTGGAAAAC